TGTCTGAATGTTGTTTCTGCCGGGCGGCGTGGCTCCCGACGAAGCATCTCCTCTTCCCCCCAGGGCTCAAAGCCTGACCCACCCTACTCCGACCTTGTCCACACTCCTTTCTTCTCCAGTGGTGTTCAGTTCCTCGGTTGCGGAACGCCACCACCACTGATTTGAACACTCATCATCGGCTGAATACTTTCGCAGGAAACAGGGAAACACTCCCACATTAGATGTACACGTTGCCTATGGTAACATCCTGATTTCAGAAACGATAAATTTGTCCGTTGCTCCTCAGGGCATGTTTTCTCATCTCCCAGGTGGTATTCCCTCACCTAGAACGTGAACTCCTATAGGTCGAGAACAGGTTCTCTGCCTCCAGTAGAGCAAGGGCCAGGCAGAAGTGCTTGCTCCGCTGGGATGCCTGTCTGCCTCAGAAGGGTGACTTTACGGGAGCTGGACCATTTCATTGAGGGTGTGGACGTGTCTGTGGCTGCGGCCTCCAACCAGCTCAGTGGGGTCCTGGCCTGGGTGCTGGTCCACTGGACAACAGTGCTTTGTCACCACAGCAGGCACCCTCTGCTCTCTGGGACGAGTGGGGATTGCTTCCATGTCTGTTGCCCTCTGATGTTTCTGTGATTACCATGACCCTGCTTTACAGACCACCATGTGGGGGCTGAGACAAGGGACATTTGAATTATCTGGATTTCTGAGGTACTCAGGAAGTCAGAGTTCAGATGCCTGAATTTGGGGACTTCGGGGATAGAGTGGAAAGCTCTGACACCATCACGTTGACTAGCTTGATGGTTTGGAAGCAGCTGAGCCCCAGAGCACAGGGTAGAATAGTTACAAAGATGAGAATCCTGGGCCGGGGAAACACAGGCCAGAAGCAGAGCAGCAGCGATCTGAGTTGCTGGCTATGGTCAAGCCTAGGCCTCCATGGCTGAAGCCAAAATTGGAACATGCCTTGATGCAGGTTACAACAGGGCCGCTATTCTGCAGCCCAGGTGGGCAGAGACAAGTTGTGGTTCTGTGAGAACCAGGGCCTAAGCAGGCTCTGCCCTGGGCGGGGCACGGTGTTTTGACACCTCGGCTTCACTGACACGCCTTTTTCTCAAGGCACTTACACCTGTCCTGAGTCGCTTTGCACACAGACCCCTGTAGGAACAGCAAAGTGGGGTTCCCAGTCTCCATGGGGTTGGTCAGTAGCTGGGTGAGGTGCAGGAGTGCATGGTGCCCCCAGAACACAGGCTGGTTCACTGAACCTCTCTACGAGCCTCAGCCCTGAGAGGACCCCTGAGAGTCTCCTTATTCCTCAGGCTGCTCACATGCCTTTGGAGGACAGCTCTAGGGAGAGGCCAGTGGAATATGCCCTTGCAGGTCAGGGCTCTCCCACCCCTGTAGCTGTAGCGTCTCTCTGGACCCAGCACGGTGACCTCAGGACGTCCTCCAGGGGCCTCTCATGCTCAGAGAAGGTGCCCATTAAGTACTGGTTGAACAACTGAGTGATCAAACGTTTTGATAAATACTACTCACGAAAATAGAGTTCTCAGAATAAAACAACTCCCTTTCAACCTGTGGATCAAGCTTGAGGTCTGCAGGGAGTTAATGAGGGGGCTGGTGGACACCCCTGGCTGTGCGTGCCCACTGCGGAGCAGCAGCGGAAACGGAGAGCTGTGCCATGGGCCACGCTGCCTGCACGTGGGTGAGCTGGGGCGCTGGTGAGAACTGGGAGCAGGCGCCGTGGGGAGCGTGGCCCAGAGGGACTGAAGTGGGCCCTGACTGCAGAGCCGAGTGGTGCTGGATACGGAGATTCTCGTAAACTACAGTAACTGCTGGTTAATCACATTAAAGGCCCTGACCTGGTGTCACTGCCACACTCCTCAGTGGAAGAAGGAGCCATCTGGGGGTGGCTGGGGAGGCAGAAGCTGGGGGATGACTGGGAGGCTCGGATGGAGGGAGGGAGTGGAGAGGGAGGGGCGCAGGCAGGGGCTCACCTAGCAGGGAGGCCAGGCCCCAAGCACTGAGCTGTACAGAGGGGTTCAGAAGGGACCAGGAGAATCAGCTCAGACTTGGGACCTGAGAGACACGTCATGCAGGTCCAGCAGGTGCCACCTTGTGTCATCCTTCACCAGGGGAAGAGCCAGAGCAAAGTCCTGGCTGTTGGCAGTGTGCCTGGACAAGCTGGCACTCAGGGCCCGAGTTCACACATCTCACAAAGGCTTGGAAAACCCAAGCACAAAAATAGTAGATCTTTTGGCCCGACAGATCCTCAGAAGGCCCCGGCCCAATAAACCAAAATGCTGTCAACACAGGCTGACCCTGGGTTTGAAGATGTTCACTGGACGTTTCAGGAACTGGACTGGGAGAGGGAGTGGCTGTGCCTGGCTTGGGGCTCCCTCCAAATGTAGGGCTGAGCTTAGTGGGACGGGCCTTGGGCCTTACAGCCCAGAGCTGTGCGGTCTCCCTGCCTGCTCCCATCAGGGGCAGGCCAGTTCTGGGAGAAGCCGGTTGGGGTCTCTACCCTGTGGATTTCAGGACCAGGGACTGTGGCTCTTGGGTTTATGCCTGGGCCAGCTGCTGCAGGAAGTGGCATTTTGTCCTGTCACCCATCACAGGGCCGTCTCCAGAACCCCACAGGGGCCCTGGTAAGGAAGGCCACGGGAGCCCTGTGGGAGCCATATCCTCCTGGCATAGCACGTCGTCCCCGACATGGGGGCTGGGGGTTGCTTCCTGGTCCGCCCCAGCTGGTGGCAGGCTCCTGGGAGGGCTCACCCTGCCGACAGGCCCTGGGAGGTGTGGTCAGGGCAGGCCCTGCCCTTGCTGCCTAGCCTGACACTGCTCACCAGCTCAGACCAGAGGGAGGAAATTCCGCAACCAGCATGAAGCTATTAAAGGGGGTTTCCTGAACAGACTGTCTGGAGCTGGAGTTTCCCACGGGCCCTTTCCTGTTTAGGGGCTGGGGAGGTGGCGTCTTACTGGGGGCTCTTGGGGTGGTGCTCAAAGAGGGGGCAACACCGTTCCTGCCACCCTGAGGTCCTAGAGACCCCACTGGTCAGCAGGACCACCTCTGGGGCATGCACGGCACCTGGCAGCCCTTCAGGCCCCCGTACCCCCGCACTCTACTGCTCCTCTGTGCAGCGAGGGTCCCAGTCTCCCAGCCCCTCACCTTGTCAATTCCAGCCTTGGACCCTTGCCCCTGCCCAGCAGTACTGAGTGCTGGGGCTTGGCTGGCCTCCCACGTCACCCTCTCTGCTGGCCCTGCGGCCCATGGCACCAACTTCCCCTCCACACTCCTGCTGGCTTGGAGTCCTTGCTGTGGGATCCTTTGGGACCCAGTCATTCTATTTGTGCCTGAGTCCTGCCTCTTGTGGGGCTCCCAAGCCTCCAGCAAGGATTCCCTTCTCTCGGGTTGGGGGATACTTCCTCCCAGAGACTCAGTGCCCAAGGACGCAGGAGCCCGCCCCGGGCACTGGACGCCCCAGGAGGCTGGGGGCCTGACTGTGCCCTGCACGTCCCCTGCAGGACCTGTGCACAGCCGAAAGGGCGGCACCGGCCTGGTCCGCCTGGTGTGACCAAGGAAGGACTTTAAAGCCATTCTCCTTCAGTCACAGGGGCAGAGACTGCTGCACCCGCCCTGGTCATCCTGCCGTGCCCTGTGCCCCAGGGCAGCAGAGACATAGGGCCCAGCTCCCCCTTCTCCCTCCAGGAGATGAGAGGCACACACCCTGGCTCCTTACGGGGACTTTATTTCCCGGTCAGAAAAGGAGAAGCAGGGACAGGCTCCTGTGTGTTCCAGGCCCGGGCCTGACCGGGGAAGGGACAGGAGGGGAGGACCAGGGGGCGGCTCCAGCTGTGCAAGCTTGGTCCCACAGTTGTCCTGTCTGGGTCCGGGGAGGGCCTGCTGGGGACGGTGGCACCGAGCCTGGGGGCAGAGGCGGCAGGCCGGCGGGCCCAGAGAACGGCACATATGGAGGCAATAAATACTGACAGGCCAGGCACACGACTCCAGGCCGGGAGGCCCAGGTGGGACGAGTAAGGCTCGGCCGCTGGCTGTATCCGCCGAGGGCTCTCTGGTGGGTCTGGGGGCTCTAGGCACTGCCCACTGGGACAGAGAAGGCAGAGGCGTGAGGTCACCCAGCATCCCAGGTGGGACTGGAGGCCACTTAAATTTTGGCAATTTGGCTTTCCCAAGCCCCTGGAGCCGTCCCCGAAGCCCTGGCCGAGGAAAGGGGGTTGGCCAAGCCCTGGCAGGTGGGGAGCAGCAGGGGCACATCCCACACCTTCCTGGGCCTCAGGGACTGCAGACAGGGTGGGGACTGGGGGAGACCACATGCTCATGCAGACACAGGGTTAGAGGTCAGTGACGCCCCCACGGCACACGTTCCACATGTTAAGGCATCATGGTTAGACGGTTACTGACAGTGATGGGTGGACTGACCAGGAGAAGTGAAAGCTGAGAACAACCCCTGCACAAGGCCCTCCATGGTACACCCTACCCCCAAGGTGGGGAGACAGATCGGGAGTCGGGGCAACCATAAAGGCCCAAGGGACCCGAACACCCTGAGACCTCGAAAAAGCCAGGGCCTCGGGGCATGTCAGGACAGTGGGGGAACCTTAAGT